GTTACCTTGAGAGATCTCGCTCAATACCCAAAGTGGTAAAAGAAGAAGATTACTTTGAGAAATGTACTCAGGCTGGTTGAACCCATAGCTAACGTTATAGCCGGTTATACACTAACCCTAACCCTCCCAGGAGTCTCCATGAAGCCCATTTTGGATGTGAGGTAAATGCAGGGCCTGTGCAGAGGCTTGGGGAGGGAGGAATGGGGTCCTGGAAGTCCCAGAAGGAAGTTTCAGGCCTCTAGAGGGCCTCCGGAGCCTAAGCGAGCCAGTTTTCACCCTCCCAGAGGCTCAAGGAAAGCCTCCGGAGCTAGGGGAAGGCGAAAATGCTCCCTCTCACCATGGTACAGGAGGCCGACTAGCCCACGCCTGCCATGGCCACACACAGCTAGCAATTGGGCAGAGAATCCTTTGCTGAAATTTTTGAAGCCCACCCTGGATGTTCTAGTTACTACTTGGCTTTTGAGTAGTCTTGAAGATGCTGATTATCATGTTTAAAGCCCTATCTTGTTTAGGACTGTTACAGAATATATCCAAGGTCTAACCTGAGCATCTTTGCTCTTTATTTCAAAATCAGGGGCCAAATTTAAAAGGTAATAAAAGTTGATTTATTTGAACTGTTTCAATACTCCCATTACTCTCATCCACACATTCATACATCAAGTAGTCCTCAACTTACAATCATTTGTTTAGTGACCATTTGACGTTACAATGGCATCAAACAAATTAAGTAAGTGTGAAAAATGATTTATGATCATTTTTCACACTTACAACCATTCCAGCATACCCATGGTCATGTGATCAGAATTTGGATGCTTGGCAACTGGCATGTATTTACGACAGTTGCAGTGTCCTTGGATTATGTGATGACCATTTATAACCTTGCAGTCAGTTTCCATTGACTCAAAGTCAATGGGGGAAGCCAGATTCACTTAACAGCCACATAATTCACTTAATTGCAGTGATTCATTTAATGACTGTGGCAAAAATATTGTAAAATAGGGCATAACACACTTAACAACTTTCTTGCTTAGCAATGGAAATTTTGGGCTCATGTGGACGTAAGCCTAGGACTACCTGTACCATCATTCAATGAGGTTCATTGGGAATTGATTAGCCTAGTTGGCTGGTCTTGCAGAAGATGTCTATAAAGATTTTCAGTAGTCCAAGTCATGGTTGTCCCAAAGGTGCTTTTTCAAGAGGCAACTGGACTTTCTGGTTTTTCTATGAAGACTCCACTTAAAAGATAAAGACCACTCTTTTGAAGACAGCAAAGTCCATATTTTGGACAGAGAGGATTACTGGTTCGAAAGTGTGGTCAAAGAGGCCATCTATATCAAAATTGAACAGCCCTCTCTCAACAGAAGGGGAGGGATATGATATCTATCTCCAGTCCATAACACAGTCCTTTCAGCAGTTCTAAGAAGGCTCCATACTCATTTGCACTACTCAGGTGACCCTGAGGGCAGATAAACCTCTAGATGGCCTCAATGACTCTCTAAAATAATACAAATGACCACTTGTCTGCAATGTGTATAAATCCTTTCATTACTCTCCATCCAGTCTGACACAGGTGGGTTCTGGCCAGTATTACTGCCAGTTCATTCGTGTGTGTGCTGCATGCACATGCACACTTCAATGGAAATTGTTCTGCGCATGCGCAGAACTAAAAAAAAGATGACGGTGGTGACGGCAGCAACCGGGGAACCAGTTTGGAGTCATGTCCAGCCTGTGTTGCTGCCGGTTCTGCGACCCATGCCAGCATACCACTACCGGTTCGGCTGAACCAGGCTGAACCAGTAGGAACCCTCCTCTGGTCTGAGGTGAAGAAGCTTCTTGGATGAGTATATGTCTTCAAAGAAAAACCAAAAAGTCCAGTCACTTCTTGAAAAAGCAACTTTTTCAGAAGATGCAAGCTGCTGCAGATTGACACCCATGTCAGAAGCGTTCCAGCAAGTTTATGATTCCATCTTCCTTTTATATCCTGTAACCAGATTCACAAACTTGCTCCTGAGTAAATCATCACTAGAATTCGGTCTTAAATAGCTTGTCTTTACCTGCATACAGCCTTTTCCAATGTGAAATGTGGTGTTATTTTCAGATACCTACTTACTTAGACTCCTTTCTGTTACTCACCATCTTGGAAAGGTTGGGTTTTTTTTTATTACTTCCCATGGTCATTTGGGGTCATTTATAACAGGATTGGTATCTTTGAGATTGCTTGCTCCTGGTAGTATCTGCCCAATGCCCATCCTGTAAAATTGGCAAAAGATCCCTAATCTGAGAGAGCATTATATCAGGGGCTTGTAAGGAGACCTTATCTGTCATTGCACCCTTCTTATTTAACAATTCTTCAGGATTTAGGAAGTCCATTAAAACATGCCTGTTCCAGGAAGCATTTGAAGAGTAGAGTGGACAGATCATTGATAATTTTCACTGGATCTTTTTCTCAGTGTAGAAATCACTTGTAAAATACTTTGCTATTTACTTTAAATGTTGTTACCAATGCAATGCAGATGTGATTTCATTTAGACTTGCAATTTAATTGTCTTTTAAACTTGATGAACAAAGAATTAGAACAAAGTCTAAAATTTGTCATTTAAAATGTTTATTTTTTTCTGCTTTATCTATAGAATATCACAGGGAACATAGAAACCTGGAGGCACAAAGTACATGATAAACGCTATTGAATAAAATATTACTGAATGAAACTATAACAATAAATACGCTTGAACATGCATCTTAATAGCTTGCAGACTTATATAAAATTCATGCTTTTTGAACAGCATACTTTTTCATATTACATGTTCATGATGCTGGCATCCCTTGACAAGTTTAAACAAGTTATTTTTTTGTGTGTGAATATTGATTTTCAAACATTTCATATTTATTCGTATCACACTTGAAAATAAACCACGTATGTAACAAACTGAATAACTATTTATTCCCTAAGAATTTCTGTCTTCTATCAAAAAACTCCCACAAAACTATACATTGTAAGAGTGAACATGTATTTTGATAAACACACATATATGTAAAATCTATTATAAATTACAACAAAAGGGTATAATATAAAACATACCTTCCTTAGAATTACTGGTAGAAGAATAAATATTGCTTGTATAGTAGCTTTGCCTCAGCAAATGCAAGGCTAGGAAATATAGTCATGGCTTATTCTATTATTACAAGAATGGGATCAACAAGCAACAGAAGAATTGTATGTTTCCATTTAAATAATGACCTCCAAGAGATGACTGATTGGGCAGAGCCTAATATGCATACCTATTTAAAATATCCTCTAATTTCTGGAATCTAAATAGAACACTTACATGTTTAAAATTGATTGTTTCAGTTTCTCCTTGGTACAAATGATTAGATTTGCAATCACAGACAGGATTTGGGAAATAAATGAACTGTCCTTTTTTTTTTAAAGATAATATAGACTGAATGAAGTTAAGAAGGATTTGTACAAGCTTCTTTGACAGGGATGTCATGCATTTACAAGGAAAGTTCTATTAATAGTTTTTCTGGGAGTTACAGGCTGTTCCGTGGGGCTGCTTTAGTTATCTCCCAGCCTTACAGTGATGAAAGCATATTTGTAGCATCCAAGTGAGGCTCCTTTCTCACACACAAACATGCGATGAGATATTTCTGAAGGTTTTATTTTGTGCGCGGCTGATCATATTAAACTGAGTTAAAACCATAGCTCTTCTGGCTTGATTAAAAAGAGATGAACTGTCTTGCCCTAATGGAAGATCTAAAGATTATTATTTTTTTGCATCTGTGAATTTGTGAATTGGCAGGCTATGTGCTTCCTGGTGCCTCTATATTCATGCACATGCATTGCCGTTAGAATAAATCATGGTTAATAACTGTATGTAGTTTTACAGAACCGCATACATGAAACAATGGGATTTAATTTAATCATCACTAAAGCATCTCTTTTTTAGTGACACCACTGCCAAAAAATGTCTCAGATCAAGTCCAGCCTCACCCACCTTTCCCACATCCCCCGAGTTAATTCAGAAAGAAGATACATCCTAAAGCATAGTAAGTACAGCAAGTGGCTAGAAAACTACTCTCCAAATTACAAAGAAGAGCACTAATTAGCCAGCAATTATTACCATAAAATAGGAAGCATCCCTGATAAACAGGTGTTGTTGGAGCAAATATTGCTACAAGAAGCCAGAGAAATGCTACCGGAATCGGATGCCTTAAAGTATTAAATGATTCCAAAGAAATATATCGGAATTGATCTATTCAATTTCTGCAGGTTATGAAAAATAGACTTAGGAATGAAGTTGGCAAAAATTATGAAGGAAAGAGGAACTAAGAGCTGTCTTTTCTTACATCATGTTTAGGTTGGTCTTGAAATACTAATTCAAAGTATTCATTGCTTGTAAGTAGATTCTAAATGTAACATGCATTTTTAGCAAGCAGCTACTAGATTATGTTTCAAATTTTATTTCAGTCTGGAGTTTTTATTTTCCTTAATGGAGTCTTAAATGGAAAGGGTGAAAACCCTTTTCATGAAGGCATGCTTAAAAACAAAAGAAGCCAATAATGTGGTTCTATATGGAATTATTGGACCTACTAAATGCTGTTAGATTTTGTGGTAGTTGAAAAATCAACTTGTTTAACAGAAAATAAATTTTAAAAATGATCATATGCTTTTATGTGGTTTTAAAGAGATTCTTTCTAATGACAAACCTGATGCAAAAAAATTAAAAGAAAACATGAAAACAAGATGTACTGTTCCTTTGTAAAAAAAAAAAAAGACTGAATTGGAAGCATTCGTTAAATGAAATCAATGTGCTGTGTCCAATGAATCCAGACAACAAGTGTAGTTATCTCTATTTGGGTTCACACAATACCTTAAATCATAAATTAACCTAATTGGATGGGTTCTCATCAGAGGTGGTTTTCTGCCGGTTCGGCCCGGATCAGGCGAACTGGTAGTGGCAGCAACGGGAGGCTCTGTCCACCTGCCCAGATGCTTCTGTTCGTGTGCAGAAGCATTGCACACACACATGTGCATGAGCGAACCAGTAGTAAAATAAATTGAAACCCACCGCTGGTTCTCACATCAAGGTAAGCTACAACAAAATCCTAATTGACACTAGATTTCACTAATAGACTAAGGATGTTGGTTCTTGGTCTCCTTGGTTTCCTTCTCCTGGAGATTCTGACTCAGACAAAAAAAGAAGCTATTGGATCCATCTTACAGTTCCTAAATGTGGAGGAAGTTTTAACAGGCTTTGATGTCCTGAAAACAATTGCTTCAACATGTACTGAATGGGTGTCAAAATAATTTCCACCCCATTTCAGAGAACACCATTAATCATCTCCGGCATTCAGTCTGGAACAAATAACCATATGAGAGGAGCACTATTAAAGTTGTATTCCTCTCCTACCCCTCCTTTACTGGAACATCAGAAGACAGATTTTCTTGTTCAAATGAATGTGTGTTGTTTAAAGGTGCAAGTTGCTGCTGTAACACTTCACTCCCCACACACACATTTGTTCTATCAAGATCAAACATTTATAAAGGGCATCTATCTTCACCTTAGGTTCATCCATTTTTATTTCTCCTCTACAAAAAATGAAAAAAAAAATATGTTTCATTTGAAATGAGCTATGGTTTCATATGGCCGGATCCTTGCTTGCCTGAAATTATTCTTTTTGTGCAGAACAGAAAGGTGTTTGGGCAGCTAAGATGGAAGGATTCACACCATTAACAACATCATGAGCAATACCTAGTTAAAAACGGACAATGCATTAAAAGCACCTCTTCAGTGACTTTCACAGTGAAACACACATCCTATTTTTATGAATATTTTGCTATATTGCCTCACTTTTTATATATGCATTTGCTAAAATACCAATATACCGCTCAAAAGACTCCATTCTCCTCATATTAATCAGAGAAATGTTCTGATTAATGTGCTATAATATAAATGCAGAGGTTTCAGTTGTCTAAAATAATCAAGGCTAACTTGAATCCATATCTATTTGCAAATAAGGTTCAAAGAATCTTACAGTCTTCTCCAAGGGGTATGCCATATTTGGCCTGAAGGGCAAACCAGAGACCAATTCAAGAAATGGTATGGATAGTGTGGAAGGAAGAAAAATTAAATTAATATTTGATTACTATGAAACATAGTTAAGATTATTATTCTTTGGTACTAAACATAACTAAATGATTCATCTTTAAAATGAAGCTTCAGCTTAGATTTGTTGAGAGTATGACGAGGATGAGGTTTTTTTCCTGTCTAATCTTCCCTCCAATTTTCATGGAGGATCCATTTAAATTCAATTCCTCCTTTCCTAAAATATATACTTAAGACTGTTTTTCCCTTTTCTCACATGAGAAATGATAACCTGATAACAACTTTTTGAGTTCTTGGATATCCAAGTGTTTTGGTAGTGTGTCTTTGCCCTATATGGTGGGGCCAACCCACTCATGAGAATGTTTAATCCATTTCCACCTTAGTGATACTCCTTGATGTCTACTGTGCACAAAAAATGATTTATTGAGGAAGGAGATTGTTTTTGAAATTTCCTAATTCCAAGAGTCACTTAAAATTTCCTGGTGGAGCCATATTCACAACTTCTGTGGTTTGCTGCAACCAGAGTGGGATGTACTGCTTGTCTATTTTAAGGGGAAGGTTAGCAAGCAATTTCGTTTTACTTCTTCCCATTACTGATAAAAAATATTATCTGCACCAACTCCAGACTAGTGTAGTCTCAGTGGTTTTATTTATGTGTCTAGGGAACAATCAGATTTTGGAACTAGTGTTTGGATGTTACCATTCTTCTTTCGTCCTGAGGCTGAATATTACAGAGAAAACATCCACATATTTGTATCAGTGCACTTCTGGCATAAAAGTATGGATCTCCCTGTCTATGCCATAGAGACAAGTATGCTCTTTGGTTGCCCTCCAAGTAACATATGATTGTTCCCCAGCACAAATATTCCTAATCAGTCTATAGTAAATTAATTGTTTTAAGTCTTCACAATTGATGGATTATAACTGTAATTCACCTCAATAAATTTATAAATTAGAAATTCTTCAGATTATAGAACATCATTAGTATTATTTGGTATTTGGTACAAATAAATATACAGAAGGTTAAGAACTATAGAAACATTGTTTAATTTTACCCTTTGATCAAAAATATTTCCTCTCCCAGGTATCCTATTTTTCTAATAATTTCCATGCCATGTTGAATTGCAGTCTCTGAACTGAACTATCTGCAAGAGAACTGAAGGTTATTGAGCTTTGCCCATGCATCCAGCAGTTCTTCTGGGTACAAGAGGGAGGATTATTTTATACATTACTTAGGAGGGTAAGGAATTAGTGAGAAAAAAACAAGACATAGTAGAAGCAGAAAAAAATTACAGTCTAGGAAAGTCATTTCCCTAATGCCAAATATGTGTGTATGGATGTGAGTACACACCCACATGCATCGTTCATGATTCTGTACATAACACTAGCATTTATCTTTAAATGGTTAGTTACCAGATCCTTTCATTGCAATAGTAATGCCAGTGAACATGGACATATTATTATTTCTGATCTGGAAGTTAGACACCTTTGTGCCTTTGGAACAATTTATTGTTCTTGTTAATGGCTAATTTATGAAAAGACAACTTCTTGAAAGTACTTTTACTTCAAACAACTCATTGATTCAAGTACTTTTCTTTCCAAATTGCTATTAATAAAACAGTTTTCACCAATTTTCCCATGGCTTAGGGGCATGAAATCTGGTACAGTTAGAAGACGACATTGGCATGACTGCTCCAGAATAAGGATTCCTTCACATGACCACACACTTGCCTTTCAGTTTCTCTTTCCTTTTCTGCTGCTTGCTTTTCTTGCCATCAATTTGTAAGCTCACAGTCCTACGTTTCTCCAAATTCAGCAGCTCTTGGAACAACTCTTTGACGTTGTGGTTCGTTTTAGCTGAGGTCTCCATGAAGGCACACTTCCATTTTTTGGCCATGGCTTCACCATCAGTGGTTTGTACCTCTCGGTTGTGGTCCTCGTCGTTCTTGTTTCCCACCAGCATGATTGGAATGCTCTCTGTATCCCCTTTGATCTGACATATCTGCTCATAAATGGGTTTGAGTTCCTCCAAAGACTGCCGGCTGGTAACCGAAAAGACCAAAATAAATGCGTGTCCTTTGGAAATAGACAAGCGCTGCATGGCAGGAAATTGATGACTCCCTGTTGTGTCGGTAATCTGCAAAGTGCATATGCTCTTATCACAGCTGATCACCTGCCGGTAAGTGTCTTCAATTGTAGGGATGTAACTGTCTCTGAAGGTCCCTTTAACAAATCTCAGGACCAGTGAACTTTTGCCAACTCCTCCTGCTCCAAACACCACCACCCTGTAATCATTACTTTGCTCTGGCATGTTTTCTGATTTTTTTTCAACCAGGAAAGAAAGCCTGCAGTGATAAAAAATATATATTAAAAAAGTTATTAATAATCTATTTTTCAATAGTTCATCAGAAATCTCAATGCAAAGTCATGAAACTTCACGGTGTGAGAGTCTCTTTCATCTGACTTGGAACTTGCAATACAGATCAGATTAGTGAATGAATAGTAATCGATGCATTGAAATTGTTATGATTACTTGATTTCAGGATGCAAACAGAAATGTTCATTTATAATCAGATTCACATTAACTTCTGAATGTTAGGCATAATGATGAAAGATTTTATGGATCTACCAAAGCTAATCCATTGCTATGATTATACCAAGGGTAACAGCCATATTTCTAAATCTAATTATTTTCTTGGTTTCTGATTAAATGGAACTCATTAGGAGATGCTAAAAATGAAAGATTATTTGGATTTTGCCTTGCTAAAACAAGATTGCAAGATAAGACTTTCTTTAGCAGCCCCGTCTTAGAATCTTATCTCTCTCCCAAAAGCAAGAAGAGGCTTCTTCACTTTGGTTATAGTATCCTGTTTCCCTGAAAATAAGCCTTTCCCGGATAATAAGCCCAATCAGGCTTTTGAACGCATGTGCTAAAATAAGCCCTCCCCACAAAATAACCCATCCCTGAAAATATTGTAACATAGCAGCAGCCATGAGGTGACCATGCTCACTTTCTCCTGCACCTCAAAAATAATAACACGCAGAAGCTTCTCTCAAATTTGCAAATGATAGAGGAGATAAGAGGCTTGTGAAAGCTTCAAAATGCACCTAAATCAAATACATTAAATCAAAGTGATGCAAACTGCTTCATTGTCACAAATTACATTATCATTTTTTTCTTGATAAAGAGAATAATGTCACTGCCTTGAACAGGCTAAGCATTCATTACTCTTACCTTTGCTACTGTCTTAATTTCAAATGTATTTTATAATAAATGCTGGTAAATTCAACATGATTGCTGAAAGCCAAGAGTGATTACTGGTAGTTAAAATTAGCCTTGGAATTATGAACTTCACTGGCCTACTTTAGGGCAATTTTCTTTATAAGTAACTAATTTTATACAGTATATCAATTCAAAAAACTTGCAATGCAATATGGAGAGGATATGATATTATTTTAGATTTTAGAAAATTTCAAGAACTTTTCAAGAAGATTTTTTTAAAAAAAATTCTCAAATCGAGGGAAGTATGAATTTCTTGATTTTGAAGTGAAATTGGTACATCAATAATTCTATATAAATCTCTGTTTTATTTTTGATCTGCAGAAGGGGCAGCCCTATAAATTTTTAATATGTTCAGTCCCTAAATTTTCCTCCATACATTTCCATGTAAAACTCTGTGTTAAGAAACCATTGCAATCTTGTGGAGTCATGTGCATTCATGAAACAATGACAAGATTTGTGTTTGTATTGCTCTGGTAATCATAAAACTACATGTGAATGTCAGCAAAATATCACATTGAAAGGAAATAAATGGATAAATTGCACATATGTTTTTTAGAGTTTACACATGCATGTTCACACTGTTGGTTATACAAGACGAGGGTCTATCAAGGAGAAGAGGAAGCTGAAGAAATGGAATGCTGCATAGGATGCAAAACCTCCCAAGCAGTGAGAGCCAAAGTAAGTCAATGGACCATTAAAGAATAGAATAGAAGGAAATCCTTTCATATATATCCTTTCATTCGGATAAAGATAAGAACTTTCTGTCTCTACACAGCCTTCCTTAGGGCACTTCCATGTGCTGATTTTCTTCTGTTATTTCTCTTTGGCAGCTGAGATGATTTATTACAACCCAGCTGAAGTACAAGAACCAACATTACAAGTTTCCAGCAGAAAATATTGGCGCTTTGTCCTCCATATGGCTTGGAGGGGGATCATTGTTTCCCCCCTTGAAATTGTACCTGAACTTCATTCACCTTAATAATCTTACAAGGGAAATGTTGGCTTTGAATCAATCTCCTAGTAGAGATGATGGCAATTATGAGTTGTTTACAAAATGTGTTTGATGGAGTGGAGAGTGAAAATAGCGATTATATTATGGAAGTGTTCTAAGGGGGGGGGGACCCCAAAGCATTCTGAGGCTGATGCAAAACTGTAGTAAAAGTAATAAACTGCTTACTTGAGCCATTCAAATGGAAACTCTTAACCATTTTTGCTTCAATTGCATAATGCATTTACCACTCTAAAAACGCTGGGAAAGCATTTAGAGGAGTGCAGCATACATTTAGCTGTTATCCTAAAAGTTAGATGGGTATGTGATTGGGGCTACAAAGATCTTTCGAGAGACAGTGAACTGCCATTTTCAGTTTGCATAGTTTCTCTCATCAGCCTTTGAATGTGTGTAGGAATTGACATGAATTCACGTAACACTGCAGCTTCGTCATGTGGATGCAAATTGAAACTGGAAAAATGCATACACTTAAACCAATTTAACAAAATTCAAATTTAAGTTTTCTTTTTTAAAAAAATTGAAGCAAAAAACAAGCAAAGATTACTCTGAGATGTACAGATCACATTCTGTACATGCTGTCACATTTATTAGCACCGTATTTAAATTGCCTTTATGAGCTCTGATTCTGAAGCTTTTAGAGGCACTCTAATTGCTAAATATGGCTGGAAAAGATAAGTCTAATATTACAATTCTCATTAGTGAGCGCAAGTAATTATTAAAGAATCTCTCTAATGAACATTTTAATTACAGGCTCTAAACAGGCTGATTTCAGAAGATTTTTTTTAATGCTCCTTTCCTGTGTTTGTGAGAAGAAGGAGTTCCACAGAATAGGAATAGGAATAGGAATAAGTTTATTTATAGGCCGCCCGTTTCCCTGAGGGGACTCAGGGCGGCTAACAACTTATAGGGAGGGGATACAAACAGTAACATATAGCATATACATAATTAAAAAATAAACAACATTCATTCAGCATTCGGGTGGGGGCGAATCAAATCTTTACCCCCAGGCCTGACGGGATAGCCAGCTCTTGAGGGCTGCGTGGAAGGTCTGAAGGGTGGTGAGGGTATGAATCTCCACGGGGAGATCGTTCCAGAGGGTCGGAGCTGCTACTGAAAAGGCTCTCCTCCGCGTAGTGGCCAGCCGGCACTACACAGAATATATAAAGGGTGGTCCATTGAAGGGTTTTAATAAAATTAAAATCAGAATATTCTAAAAGGGCTGTTTCCATCATTATCATCCCAAACTGGTGTTCTCCAGATGTGTCTCACCACAGTTCTCATCATTCCAAGCAAATCCAATGGGGGAAAAAACCATCAAAAATAAAAATGTTTTCAACACAATATTTCTCAGGCAGGAGTGAAATTTAGCAGGTTCTGACAGGTTCTGGAGAACTGGTAGCAGAAATTTGGAGTAGTTCAGATAACTGGCATACACCACATCTGGCTGGCCCCAGAGTGGGGTGGGAATGGAGATTTTGCAGTATCCTTCCCCTGCCACTCCCACCAAGCCACACCCACAAAACTGGTAGTAAAAAAACTGAATTTTACCACTGTTTCTCAGGCAATAAATTTCTTGCTGCTTATTATTGTCGCATTTGTAGTTTTTTTCTACTATCTTTATGTTAATAGTAATATTATCAGTGAGTGTATTAATCAAGTTTACTATGTGTTGATAAATAGGAGGGCCCACACAGTTCATTCCAAGTGCAATAAATCTTCCCATATAGAAATTTTTCTCCTTCTGAATGAGCTTTACTTTTTAATTATTTTAATATGTAAACAATTTTGTATATACTGTTATGGTTATGCATTATTTTTTATAAACATGTTATACATATTTAATAAACAAAATAGTTAAAATTGCATATCATGCTAAGCCAAAATGGTTAAGATGAATAAATCCTGAATATGCCCACTTGATCCTTTTTTGAGATCTATGGGTACAAAACTCCCATATCATGCAACCATAAGGCATCAGTTTGCCTTCAGCCATGAAATACATTTAATGAAGAGACAATCCTATCTTATGGTACCCATCATGTGAATGCAATCACAACATTATTTCAACATTCAAGATGTGTCTTTTAGCCACAGAAGAACTTCCACCCCTGACTGGGAATGTTGGTTTTGTAAGCATCTTGAATTGCTATTTGTTGTCTTCAACATCTGATATTGAAGAAATGCTTTTACTGTTTTGGGGTTTTAATTATTGTTGTAAACCATCCAGGTTTTTGTCTTGTAAGATAGACAGTCATGTGGGTTGAATGAATGGATGGATGGATGGATGGATGGATGGATGGATGGATGGATGGATAAATTTCTTGGAAATTTAAGTTGATTTTCCAAATGTTACAAAATGCCAATAAGAGTTCAATGCCATGTTTATAAATATAACAAAACCTGGGGAGGTGTTGTACATCAGTACATGTCTCAGTTGCCCATCTTGAGAGTAAGTGGCTTAGGCTGCAAGTGCATACTTACCTGAGATTAAACCCCACCAAACTGGAGTCTATCTTTGATTAGGCAAAATAGGATTGCATCATTAGAAACCAATCAAAGCATAACTTTTGTGCTGTGCATATGCAAAATCTCACTGGTGGGTCTGTTCCATTTTTACTGTCCTACAAAAGAACTGCTTTTTAAGCAGAATACTAATCAGAAGAATTAATGATTTCAAAAAAAAGTTTCCTGAATCAATTTAATATAGTTTATGAGACTAGCCAAGTCATACTAAATTTAGCTAAGAAGCAAAAATGTCAGATTTAATGAAATATAATTAGAATTCTTCAGAGTTTTTTTTTCCTGAGCAAACAAATATTGCAATACTGCAGGTTCTTTAATAAGATCCCTATAGTGTAATTCTTTTTGTCCTTGAATGCTGTCCCACAAAGATTAGAGCAGACTGAATTGCCTCTCCATTATATTAAAAAAAAGGTTATGATAGTTTGTACACAGCATGCCCACAATTCCATGGGGATAAAATTAGAGGCTAGCAGCAATCACATTTATATCCACTGGGAGGGGGGAATGAGATAGAATGGGGTGGCTGTAAA